TCCGAACCACTAAGGTGGCAGCCGCATTGTGGAGCTCCCCTGTTTTCTCCCGGCCGCATTTAAACAAAAAAACATAAAATATAAAAGAAAAACAAATTTGCACTTTTTGTTTTTGTTTTTGTTTTTGTCCGCTGAGGAGACGAGAGGCGTGGACGTTGCGTGGCTTTTTCTTCGGGCCTTCGTTATTCAGGCTTGGCGGCCATGGGCTCACCTCCCGCAGTTGCCCTTCACCCCCGCCCTGCCCAATGTTTTTTTCTTTTTTAAATTGTTGTTGTTGTGTGTGTGTGTGTGTGTTTGTGCGGGATTTCTCACTCCCCACCCCTCCTCGCTGCCCGGAGCCCCGGATGCCTGACCTTCCCTCCGCTTCGGGGGGATGCCGGAGCCGATGATGATGATGGCGGGGGAGGGAGAGGGAGGATCCCCCTGCAGCGCCCTGCGCCGACTCTTTCTCCCCTCTTTTTGCATCTCCGCACACGCGCACCCGGCAGCCTTTTAGAAGGAGCCGCGGGGAACAAAAGGAAGGGAATCGCTTGGGGAAGGTTTTAGGAGGGAAGCAGTGCCGAGGCGGTTGTAGGGCGTTTGACACACCGACAACTGCCGCGGCTCTTGCGCTAGAGTAGTCAGAGGAGGGGTGCCGTTGTTGTTTTCCGTCTTTTTTTTGCGGTTTTTTTATTTAAATAATTATTCGAGGCCCACTTTGTGGCGCTAACCGCTCGTAGCTCGAGAGCCAGACAAGAAGGCGGCGGGCTGCAGCGAGGCCCTGCGGGGCAGTGGAAGGGACACACGCCAAGGAGAAAGAGCAGCGAAGGTGGGCGGAGGAGGGGCATAAATTCTACGGGTGGGCTTTACCAACGCAGGGGGTGGGGGGGCGGCCGCGGCTATCACGACTGTGTGTCGTACGCCGTTGTATAGGCCTTTGCTGCACACACAGGTATATATATATATATATATATACTGCGCTGGGTTAGGGAGCTAGTTTATTTACGTCCCGGCAACTACAACCACCACACCATCGTCGCTGTCAGCAGTCGCCATGTTTACGCGGAAGTTTCAGGGCACCATCCTGAACTCGGAGGGCCACAACGTGCCAAAGGAGGACGCGCCAGAGGAGCCGCACAAGATGACATTCTGGCACTCCTACATTGATCCCTCGCATAGCAACAAGGAGCGCCCTGTGGTTGACGTCTCCGCCCCGTACAACCCACTAGATGAGACGCATCAGGCGCGGAAATTCGGTGTGCAAAAGCTCCCGTACGGCTTCATCTCCATGAACGCCTTCACTGGCGTAAAGGAGGAGGTGCCGTACACGGACTCGATGCACACATGCGAGTGTGTGAAGTGGTGGATGGGGGGCCTCAATATTTGGTATATTAATTGGTTTCTGGCCCGTGCGTCAAACTCGTTTGGGGCCGTGGGGAATCCACGGACAAAGTTTGCGTGGAACATAGCGCTTTTACTTGGGGTGCTGCGCACCAACATCGCCGGCCTGATTGGGATTGGGGGCTACTTCTACTCCTACGAGTGGCTCTACACCTATGGGCCGTGGCCCTTCCGCATTAGTGACCCAAGCTTGAACGGCTGGAAGCGGGCGTGGGATGAGGGTCAGGGGTGCTACATGGCTCGCGCCGCCGCAAGCATCTTTCCTCCACTAGGTTACGCCTTCTTCATGGGGCGCTGGAAGAAGACAAGTTTCTGGTTTGTGTTGACGCTGCTGGGAGGTCTGCAGTACGAGTACGCGCGGCAGTACATCGCCTCCGGCAACCGCCTCTTTTACAGCTTCCAGGCGAACAAGGAGATCAACCGCCAGGCCAACTGGGGATCGCTGATGCCAGTCCTGGCGCACCGCGTAGACCCCGACACGAACCGCAACGCTAGCGTCGCGCAGTTCCGCTACTTTCGCATCACCAGCGGCACAATGCAAGACACCATATGGGAGAATGCGGTCCATGAGAACCTGCCGCTCTATCGCCGCGCGCTGCGGCTGCCAAACCCCTACTTCAACTGGCAGAAGGCCCCGCAGACATACAACGACAGGCCGTATGTTAGCAAAAACGACTTGTGGGAGATGCCGCAGGTTATGAGCGCCCAGATGCGTTCGTCAACCATGGACAGACCCTCAGCAAATTCTATAGCGTAGGCAAGGGTGGGTGGGCGGAGAAGGAAATGAAGGATCAAACAAGCGAAAAGAAATCTCTGTGTGATTGATGGATCGCCCGTTTTATTTTACTTTATTTTATTTTATTTTATTTTATTTTTTTACTTTTTTTTTGCCGATTTCTTCTTCTTTGACGTACATGCTGGGACGAACCACACGTAGAGGGGGAGGAACGACGTTTATGTTGGTCCCAGCTTGGGAACAGTGTGTGCGTGTGTGGCTGCATCTGTTGACGTTAGCATTATATGTATTAGGGCTTTAGCAGTTGGCGGTGTTAGGAGTATGGGTAGCAGTAGCAGGGAGGGGAGAGGAAGTGAGGCGGGTGTGGGGTGCGTGGGATGTGGGGAGAGATACGAAGTAGGATGGGAGAGGGAGTGTAGCGCGGGGAGTCAAGAAAAAAAAAGATTCTTCCTTTTTGTTTTAAAAAAAAAAGCAAAACAAAAACCAAAACAAAAGCAAAATGTGTGTTGTTTGTTGGGAAGGATACTGGGGGTGGGTGGGCGGCGAAGCTTAGATGAAATGTGCTAGCCACGATGAGTGGGGGAGGGCGGAAGCAGGCCGGAGTAAAACAAAAGTGAATGCCAAAATAACGAGGCAGGGGACGCATAAGCGCACCTGTACATACACACGTCACAATAGAGAGAGAGAGAGAGTGAGAAAGCGAGGGCTGCCTTGTGCGCCGTAGGCGTCATCCTCGCCCTTTGCTGCTTCTGCCGCGGCTGCTGCTGCCACGGCGAGGCGAGTGCGTGGGTGGGTGGCGCTGCGTCGATGCATGCAACATGTGCTGAATGCGTGGAGGGATTTTGTGTGTGTCTCTGAGTGCGTGTGAGATTTCACGTATTTGTCCCTTTCTTTTGGCCTTTTCCATTTTGTTTTCTTATTGTTTCCTTTTTTTTCTTCCCCCCCCCTCTCTACTGTGAGCATTTTTGTTTCCCCTTTTTTTTGGGTTGCGGTATATTTCGCCGTTTCCCTCGTGCTATACGCCTGCGTACATACATACCTACATATATATGTATATGTATATATACGTAGGTATGTACTTCTTTGCATGCCTGTATGTGGGTGTGTGGTGTCTGGAAGCAGTTCATCTCCTAGCGTTGGTGATGGGAGTTATAGTTCTCGTGGGCTTGGTGGGGCGTGCGAGGGACGAAGAAGCGGCAAAAGGCGCACTGCAGACATCTGCGTGCTGCATGTTGGTGGGCGTCGTGCGGATCCTGCTTTGTCCTTTTTTCCCCCCCATCCCTCC